AATTGAATTTTGGAAAGGAAAACAATGGATTTTAGGCTTGAAAGTGACGTCCACCGAGCATAGCTGGTGGCCACAACGTGCGCACCGAAGAGAGCTTTTCGAATTGGAGTCATAATAGCGATTCCGATAACCGTAGTCAAAGTTGTGGCCAAATTACCAAAGACACATCAAATTCTCCCAATTGAGGAAATAATTGCGATTCACTTTCCATCTTTGCCGCCCGATCCGCCATCTCATGGAATCTGACGCGGGATAGGATAATGATTATCCAATTTGTTTGTTGTAACAGATGATCCGCAAGAAAGAAACGACAGAAAATGCCCAAAAACCAGCGAAAATACTCTGAAATCAACTCAATACTATTAATAATGCAGAATGACAAAAATTAACTCACAAACTGAGTTAAATAGCTGCGAAATACGAAATTATAGGAAAATTACCAAAATGGTAAAATCTCGAAATTATACTAGAATAAAATATTTAGTAAAAGAAGTAGGTTGCCAAAAATTTGGCTCAATTCGAGTTTTCTAACATATGGAAAAAGGGTAACGAAATATTACCATAAATAGCAAAAAAAACTTAAAATTGAATTTTGGAAAGGAAAACATGGGATTTTGGGCTCGAGATTGACGTCCACCGAGCATAGTTGGTGGCCACGACGTGCGCACCGAAAAGAGCTTTCCGAATTGGGGTCATAATAGTGATTCCGATAACTGTTGCCAAAGTTGTGGCCAAATTACCAAAGACGCGTCAAATTCCCCCAATTAAGGAATTAATTGTGATTCACTTTCCATCTTTGCGCCGATCCACCATCTCATGGTATCTCAGCGTTATCATCGTGCTATCTGACCAATCAGCATCACTCGACTCGGATCCGCCTGCATGAGATACTTACTTTGATCAGTTCCTGATTTGCATTTCAAGTGTTTGACATCTAGGCTTCATCCATTGAAAAGTAAGCGCGATTGGGGTTGTAAGGTAACTCTACGAATGGATGCTTAGCACTTGGAAATTGTTCCACAAAACTCCAGCGCAATGACCATTCAAGAGTTTAGTATTGACTGAAAATTAAGTTTACCGTTGATGTGTTTTCTGATGAAAATCGTGATGGAAGAAGAAACCTGCAAATCAAATTCTGATCAGAGGAATGTTAAAGTTTGTGGCGTGCATCTGAAACTCTTTGAAGATCCAATGTTTCAGCATCATTCAGAAATAGACTAATTAATAATTATAAAGAAAGTTATTTTAAGCAACAATAATGTGAACATAAAACACCGTGGTAAATGATTAAATATTCTCATTAACACTACAAAATCATGTGAGCAAACATTTTTTTCTGTTTGAATCAATCAACAATAATGAAAACTTTGAAACTGGCCAACTTATAAACATAACCAGTACATGCTACCTTCAGAAATAGATTTCTGCATCCCATGGAAAGTATTATCATGTCCAGCCTGCACGAGGATTACACAGAGATTGCACCACGCCAAAAACTGTAAATGAGGAAAGCTCCATCAGTTCTGAAGAACATCAGAAATTAAAGCAACCCGGGTAAGAGTAAAGGGTTCAATGACAGAGAAAATGTGGTTAAAATATATTAATTTTTCCAATAATGTAAGAAAGCAAAAAAAATTTAAAAAACTCAATGTTTTCCTGGACACATTACCATCAATTATGACCCAGATGATGAGAAAATCAAAGAACTAAAAGCGCATATAGTTTAGTCACCCGGTAAATTTTGCAATATATGACTCTCCGTGAAGTACTGGATTCATTTTCAGTAGGCCTAGATGCCCCGAAAGAAAAAAAAAATGGCTGGAATTCCAACATACATACTATTGAATAATCGTAGTCTTAGTAAATTTAACACTGGATTAACTTTCAGATTCTTGAACATGAAGCTGTTGATTTTTAGATGCCAATGTCAGCTATTGGCGATACCACTCATCGTAATTTCTTAGCCACATGACAAAATAAATAAAATTGTTTATGAATATGCATGAGAAACTTGCATACACAATCACCAAAGCTCCTTCGACCCCCTCTCCCCCGCAATGGGTAAAAACCACTGGCTTCGAAAAAACAAAGAAAAAGCATGTAAAAATGTAACTTTCCAAGAGCCTTAATATCAACTGTAAGAATAAATCAAAGATGCAAAAATGTAATTTCATCAAATTTTGATGGAGGCTTTTGTTCCAGAACTGATCTCCTAAGTCCTAAGAACCGGTGCTTAGGATATCAATTCTGGCTTTGGTTCCAAGAAACTAGATAAGTTGGGCAGCTTGTGCCCACAAGTATTCTGAGACAACCAACTTTTCCTATGCTAATAAATACAAATAATGGAGGAAGATCCCAATTTTATTAGCTAATTGAGATTTTAGCCAATTGTTATGAAACAGAGCATAAGACCAGGGTGTAATAGATGGAGTAACAAAGAAGAGATAACATCACCAACAAGGAAAACATCATTACTAGAAAATTTGGAATTGGATATATGAATCTTTTTTTGACCTTCATGTTCAACTACCTGTACAATATATTGAAAGGTCCATCAAACTTTTTATGCCATGACATTAAACCTTTTCGAACCTGCCTCTATCTCTTCTAACTTGTGCCACTAAGACTGCATTAATATTTTCAATAAGAGCTTCTTTAGGTTTATACTACAACTACCCAACCATGCAAGTTGGCATTTACTTAATTTGACCTTAATAAGATCCTGAGACCCCCAAATGGTTTAAAAATAATTAAACCAGTAAATTAGAATCCTTAGAAACCTACCTGCCAATAACTTAAACTATGACACTGTTATTCTCATTTTCCAGTTCCTTTCATGGAAGATGAAAAAATAGTGGTATCAATGCCGTCGTGTATGGTTATTCTCTGTTTATGGTCCTTTCGTTGGTAAACCAAGATGAATCTTTGTGTGAATTGTTTGACAACAAGTATGTAGTTAGTGTATCCAAAGTCAAACAGAAAACAACATTAGTCCAAAACAATCGATGTTAATGCCTTTAATTTTGAACAGCACATATTTACTGTTCCCATAAGAAGCCCAAGAAAAGGAACAAAAATATGTTCACTCGCAAAGGTCTATTAAGTGTATATTAAGATGAATTATTTCAACTTTTTGTAGTTGACTTAAATAAAACCACCAAAAGATAGTAAAATTTATGAATAGTGAGAATATAAACGAGAAGAAAGAATGAAACGGACGATGAATTCATCTCTGGTAACAAAAAGATATAGGAAAGATAACTTAAACTTTTAAGATTATCACGATGCCCTCTAGCGTCGATGGAAAACCACGATCAAACAGTTACAAGAATGAGAAGAAGCCTTGTTCCCTACAGTACAATACAACAAGTCTACGGTTCATGGTGAAATGACCAACTCTCTAAGTCTCGAAGCAGGACTATTTTTTACGCTTGTGCGGCAGTAGTAGTCTCACTCTGTTCGAATACCTTCCGCCATTCTCCATCACGAGTTTAGAAATGACCTATTGTATATTTTCCCCACAAGACATACTAGTGTTTAAATACTGAAATACTAGTGTTTAAATACTGAACACATCCTCGCGCTGCACTTGGTGCCAAGACACTCATCTATTTGCAATGCACATCTTCTAGCTTGATTGCATGCTTATGCACAATATATGGTCCTCTCTTAAGAGTATTCACGGGAAAGGAGCTCTCCTAGCTTCATCCGAAGCTTTGAAGATCATTTGCATGATCCATAATGCAATCCTTGTGCTCTTCACTTGTATGAGTACTTTGGCTTAATGCTTGCCTCCATGCCCTTCGTCAATGGCTAGTCCAAGTAGGACAATCTTTTAATCCATGGCTAATCAGAAGTTCTTACACATCATACACACCATGTATGAACATCTTATCATAAATTATATGGCATTGCCCTATGACCATATTTCTAGTCATACCACCACGGCAAGACTAAAACCCACACACAACTTAGCATACGAGGACTTTAGAGTGCTTTCCTTAATAGCTGAGTCGGTCTAGAGGTGTTACAGTATCCTTAATGTAGCCCTCAGAGGTATCCTTATGGTCCTTATGGACTATAAGGATTGCGCATAGGGATAGCCTATGGCTGACTTCCCAGCTGAAGAAAGCATGGGAAGGCTGTTTCACCGAGCATGGCCCCTTAAAGATTTAGCAAGAAAATCCAAGTAATACTAGTAAACTTCTTTTGGTGAAGAAGTTCGTAATTTTCATCATTGATGTTACTACCTCCAAATAACGCTCAGTTTTATCCTTAGTGAAGTTAATATCTTCAATATCGGTCCACAAAATTTTAACTCTAATATATACACGATCCTTAAGATATCCTCTCGCAACATACTAACAATGTCACTTTGTGACACTATAGCTTTCGGCCCCTACGTGGTTATACACATATTTTAGATGAATTTGGAGGAATCGAAGATAAAAATAAATAAATTACATAGCATTATTTGTCAATTGTTTTGTGTGACTTCACCATCTTAGCATTCATACATGTTTAAAAATGTTCAACAATTAACAATATGGCTTCGTAGATTACTTCTCTTTTTTCAGCATTATCATTGTCAATACACTATCTTGGCAAACAATCTTGTTCAACAGATTGAAGAATGCAATAAGAAATCACAAAAATTGTGATACAAAACCTAAATAGAATCACTGAAAGCCCTTTCTTAAACATGAAGCTCTCTCTCTCTCTCTCTCTCTCTCTCTCTATATATATATATATATAAATATTAAATTTATAGATACTTGTCAATTTAACAAAGCGCTCAATACTACTTTTTTAGCACATTTATATCGATTTATTTTGAAAGTTGATTTCAAGATTTTATTTTGTTTTTAATTCAAAACTCAACTAATGCAATAAGAAAATACATCATCCTATAGTCGTTGGAAATTTATCTCAAATTTTAGATCAAAAGGACAATTTAAATTTAGAGAATAAGCAATTTTTCATTTGAGAATATTCCCAAGTTCATTTTTCAATAGAAACACACACATTGACACTTTCCTTTCGAAATCTCAGCCCAACGGCCCCAACCCACAAATTGCTGCACCATATTTCTTCATCTGGCAATGCCAGCTCTAGTTCCTCTTCAGCTTTTCTCTAATTTCGTACCCAAAACTCACCCCCTTTGCAGAATACCCTTTTGCAGAAAGGATATTTGTAGCACTGCTCGTACTTTTTCTCCTCGGAGTTCTGTCTCATCAAGGTACATTCTCTCTTTGCTTTCTGGGTTTTGTTCAAGAACTGTTCTAGAACCCCTAACTCAAAGCTATAGGCTAATCTTGATTTTTCTTGCCTCTTGGGTGTAAATTTGATTCATTTTATTAGATCCAGACTTGAAATTAATGTTGTGTGAAGTAATTTTGATTTTTGACAATGCTTTCATTGTAATTGTATGTGTTGTGTTTATAATAGTTTGTGCTCAATTTACGCTTGACCAATTAACTATTCGTCAACAATTTGCCGTCAATTTCTAATGTTTAAAGGTTATGTAAGGACTCTATTGACGTTTGTGGGCTGTTTAGCTTTTTGGGCACCCTTTCCTCACAAACTAGTCTTAGGGTTGAGTTATGCTCGACTTGCTCCTAACAATTATGGTAAATACCTGCTTGGAGAAATTCTGATGCAGAATTCTTTTTCTTCAGTAATTATATAGATCAAAAATAATATATGGGGTAGATTGGTTAGAAGAAAGGCCTGATAACAGTTCTAAATATTGAGAAATAAGAAACCAGAGAACGTCGCATACTTTTTGTGCTTGCGCGTATAAATTTTTCTGACTAAATTCGGTAGAGTCCCAATTTAATGTTTGCTTTAGGGAATACGTAAAATGATCTGATACTTTTGTACCATTTCATGTTAAATTTTTTGTCGAGATTCCTGCTCTAAATTTCATAAGCAAAAGCTTAATTTTACTTCAATGCCAACCAGTATTAATTCCCTTTTAGTCACACAATAGATACACATTCCTGATTCAGAAGTTGTTCAGAGTTTGGTTTACATTTGAAGTTCTTTCGGGATGGATGCAATTTTTTCGGTTTGCCACTTCCAAGATATTGTTTTACATTGAAACTACCATTCACGTTAAAATTTCACACACCATATGCCAGACTCTGAAGTTATGTCTTCAAACCACAACTTCTTGACGTGTTCGTTATTTAGTTTTGAAACTAAATACAAAATAGAATTTGGGGTTGTATATTGAACCAACAAATAGCTGATCTCGTCTAAATCACAAATATAGCCGAAAAATATCCTCTCGTGTAGTTGCACACCACAAGTTCTCTACAGTGGCTAGTAACTGATTTTTGTTCATCACTGCAACTTCTACATGATCGAAACTGCAGCTGCCTTATCTGAATGCTTTTCTATGAATATTGACATCCCTAAACTCTCTTCATTCTAACTAATCTTTAATGTCTACTTAGAAAATCATCACTTTCTACTGTTGCTCCACTGGAAGCAATACTATTTGATATTGATGGAACACTGTGTGATTCAGATCCTATTCACTACAACGCTTTCAGAGAAATGCTGCAAGAGGTTAAAACTTTTTTCTTTCACTCGATTTTATGTTTATGTGCTATTTCCTGCCCATATCTTTATTGATTGCATCAGAGATTTCAATAATATTGGTATTTCTAACAGGTAGGTTTCAACGGGGGAGAACCAATAAGCGAAGAATTCTTCATAAAAAACATTAGCGGCAAGCATAATGAGGAACTATGTCGTGTTCTGTTCCCAGAATGGAATCTCAAAAAAGCCCTGAAATTTATGGATGATAAGGAAGAATTTTTCCGAAGGTAACCCTAGACCGACTCTGTGTTAGTCCCAAACTTGGGATCTAATCAACGGACTAAGAATGTTTGTTTGTGATACAATCTTCATTAGTGTATTATCCCAGAGCTAGACTAGAGTGTTTATCCTATTGTTATCTCTCCCGCCTTTTCATATGGAGGATGTGCACAAAATTTAAGTAAGAACAGCGGCTGATTTATTTTTTCAAGTCTTAGGAAAAATTATCGGGAAGGTAGTAGAGTTACCAGACATCCACTTCTTTAGTTGTTCAGTTCTTCTATTCGTTACGGCAATTCCACCTACACATTGTCAAGAAAGGGATTTTGCATTGTGATTGGTCGAATGTCCCTGCCTCAATTCTGAATCACTTTAGGTTCACTCAATTTGTGAACCTTTCTCATTCAATTTACTTAAACCTTCTTCATGTCAAAAACTCTGTGTTGAATTGAGTGAAGATTGCATACAATTAATAGTCTTTTCGGATCCCTCATTCCTACAATTTTACTGGATATGCAGATTGGCATCAGAACAATTAAAACCGATAGCTGGCCTTGATGAGTTGTGTAACTGGATTGAAGATCGTGGTTTCAAACGAGCTGCTGTTACTAATGCTCCGAGACCAAATGTTGAACTGATGATCCCCCAACTTGGCCTTGTGGTTTTTTTTGAAATAGTGATAATTGGAAGTGAATGTGAGCGAGTGAAACCTTTTCCCGATCCTTACTTGGAGGGTCTTCGGGCACTTGAAGTATCCCCTGAGCATGCATTTGTGTTCGAGGTTTAGCTTACTCTTGAAATTCTGATATCACTACCTATATATTGTTATATTTTATGTATTTCTACGTTGTAATTGTTTGTCATTTTTGTTTGCATTTACAGGATTCTGTTTCTGGAATAAAAGCTGGGACTGCAGCTGGGATGCCAGCAGTTGGTTTAGCTGTGAGGAACCCAGAGAAATTACTGTCTGAAGCCGGCGCAACTTTTTTCATCAAGGATTTTACAGATCCAAAGTTGTGGACAGCCTTGGAAGATCTTGAGAAGAAAACAGAGGCAATGGAAGTCACTGCCTGAGCTGGTAATAGCTTTTAACTTCACTGAATTTAAATGTTTTAGAGACATTCTTTTTATTCTTTGCATTATTATTTGAGGCTCAAAGAGTCAAAAGTCCGAAGGGACCTTAGTCACAATGGAATATGATAAAAGAGATATCGAGTAATTATTTGAGTAACCTTACTTTTTCGGAGATAATGGTACGTAAAAATTGACCATATTGCTTCTTTTGGTGCTGAATATCACATTCGTACATATCATCTCAGAAATTTCTCTATCAAAGTCTTTTCCTTTTTTTCATTGCTAAATAACTTGTTCTACACATTCTCTTTCTTTACTTTAGGATGCCTCTGGTGAGTTCGAATGTTAAACCATAAAATAGGAATACAGATTTTCTCGGAAATGAATGTTCTGATCGAAAATTTCTAAACTCTGGTGTCTGTGTAATAGTTAGATACTTCTATAGGTATTTCATTTACTCAGAATAAAAATCAAAGGCGTTCTGTTGATTTATGGCTGGTGCAGAAGCCCAATATTCTGGCCCCCTAATTTAGGCCATATACTGCACCGATTTGATCCGGGCTCTGCTAAGAATAAGATTGATCAAGTTTGTCTACATGACTATTTTTCTAGTTTGGTCAAGGGTTAATTTGTTTGTTATGTTAGACTACACGATAATTGACATTCATAAGGGTCCTTTTGGCAAGGTTTTTGAAAAATCAATTTTTTTTTTCTGAAACTAAATATTTAAAAAAAAAACCATATTTAGATAATTTTATGAAAGTATTTAGAAGAGCTTTTAGAAGAAAAAACTCTTCTACAAAGAGTATAAACCCCTCTCAAATGGCCCCTAATTATGAAAACGAATTTCATTGAGAACTAAAGTCTCATATTTATATTGAAGAATTAGGGCTACAAGGGATACAATAGTAATAAAATCTAGGGTTGTAGTGACTTATTTGTCATTTACAAATAATACTTTATTTACAACACTTTTCATTAAATGACAATTTACACAACAACTATTTCATTGAAACATTGTTTTACAAAAATTCGACAGGACAAAAATACCAAGAAATGAAAAACGAGTACAAATAATATGGAGTAATAAAAGATTATATCTTTAAAACTTGTCAAGAAAACATAATGGCACAAAACTTGATCGAAGAAAACAAAGTACAACTACTTCGCCTGATTCAATAAATGAAAATTCTTCTATCAAGCGATTCATGTCTTATACGTCAATGTGACAACGTCTTCAATATTGCAATTTCTCATGAAGTGTGTCATGTCATCTTGTATAGACTTCAAATAACACCATTTTCATTCGAGATATTTATCAACCTTTAATAATTGTGTAACATGATTCGAAAAATAGCTCTGTTTTTCTCTTAAGGTGTCTCACAAATATAAAAGTATTGTTTTGAAGATAAATGTATTGTATGTTATGGATATTTATTATTTTGAGGGTAAATGCTTTATTAGAATTGTATTAGGAAAAACTTTATAGGAAAAATTCTAATGTAGGAAAAAATACGTTATTTTTTTGAGTAAATTACAAAAATTGTCTCGTTAAAAATCTTGTCAGAAAAAATCAATAGGACAAAATTTTGGTCAAGCAAAAAAAGTACAGTACATATTTACTCTTCCTTCTAATAATATTACTTGAATTATGCTTCAAGCATATTAAATCTTTTAAGAATAATAATAATAATAATCATACCAAATAAGTTGACTATAACCGTATTTCAAATTGCATGCATCGTCACGATAACAATATATGGACTAGTGATTGATCCACCACGGTCTTTGCAAAATTTATTATTTTAAGAAACATACGTTGCATTTTACAACTTCATAATTTTAAGAATAGACCTTTAGATTTGCGGATTGCATGTCCAAAAATTTCAAATTTCTCTAGTAAATTCAAATTTACTAAGATTATATCCTTTAAATGGCCAATCATTACTTTTTTTCAACGAATTTATTTCAAATCCTTGATAATCATAATATGAAGTGATACATCACATTCAATAGTATTGTCAACAATACTTTCTTTTCCTTTCTCATAATGAAATAATGAGAGATCTCTATTTTCAATATTTTTAATTATTGAACCTTTCTGGGATTTTATAATTAGTTATATTTATATATTCTCAAATAATATAAATATCCTAAATGGGATCATCTTCCTCTTTTTTAGATTTTTTTCTTAGAATCAAACATATTCACATTTCAGCGCGTGCCATAAATATATCAAATATAAAGTTAACGAATTGTCCTCGTAGGACTCAGTTCGGATTGGAGCATTTAAAGTAAGTGTGTGAAATACTGTTAATCTTTTAAATCAATGAATGTATCTAAATGAATTATCTTTCGACCTTCTGATTTGAATTATCTTAGCGAATAACTAAACAATACAATAATGCATTATGTATATTATTTTTAACTTCTTAATTTCTCCTCCTAATACTGAGAAAATTGTTCAGTCAAATTGACAATCAATAAACCACGTTATAATATATCACCTCGTATGGCTTGAGATATTGTATAAGGGTTCAAATTATATATTTATTCTCAGGATTCTTTACTTTTTATCTCAGTAAATTATGATGAATCAATTTGCACTATGAAAAAAATTAGGTAGAAAAATTTAGCTCTGATTATAAGCCAAATATAACAGAAAAAGCTTTGATAGTGGCATGATGCTAGTAGCATTACTTAGATGGAATTGGAAAACACTTTGTTCTCAATATTAAAATTTCTAAATTAATAGAAGGCTTTTAACAAATAATAATGTTAAACCATTTATCACCATTCCAACTGACGCTTATAAAAATGTTGAAAATTAAGTTTCACTAATATTAAAAAGACACACCATCTTGATTGTATAATTTAAAGATCATGATCATAATATAAATACATGCAAGTACTCTAGCAAACTTCATGTTCCGAATACTATGCAATCATCCAGTAGATATATCATATCTATTAATGTAAATAATATTTAAATGGTCAATATAGAGGGTGACGGTGTCCCATATATCACTGTAATTAATTTTCAAGATTATAAGGATTTAATCCAAACATTAGCTAGTTGTCAATTATCAATTTATGATATACAGTATATGTGAATTCGTTGATTTGAAGAATTTTCTTGGTTTTTCATTAAATGTTCCTTTAAATTCTTATTTTGTATCATTATTGATCCAATGATAATTTAACAGGACGTGTCAATAATAAAATATTAAGGTTATTGAACTTTTAGTTCAATACAATGTTATTTTAGTTGTACAAATATTAATATAGTGGAGAAATATTACAGCAATCATAAGTTCGTCTAGGGTTGGACATGGTTCGATGCAGTTCAATTTTAACGAGAATCGAACTAGACCTGAAATTCTCGGATATTTAGTAAGTGGAACAATTAGGTCCAAATTTAATTATGGAACCGTTCGGGTTCGGTTCCATTTGGTTCAATTCGATTAGATTCGGTTTCCAGGTTTCGTATTATAATTAAATTTTTCAATATTTACAAAGTTACATTAATTCAACTAATGACATGTTTAATTTTAGCTATTACAAAATAACGTAGTCCAATTTTATGTGTTTTTTGCGTCTCTCTTTGTTGAGTTCTTCATAAATTTGATTGTTAAAATCATGGGAAAATGAAGATGACGAGTTCAATTCGATTTCTCCAAAACGGTAGAAATGACACTACTGTATAGTAATAGATTTGGATAAAATTTAGGTCAATTTGATTAAATTGGCTTTGAACTGAAAAATAGAAATAAGAAAATCATATTTTTAAATTTGAACTAAATTAACTAGTTAGCAAATTTATTTAAAAAAATAAAATAATTTGACTTATTTAAAATAAATTAATTAAAAAATTAGGAAGATTCGGTTCTTATTCGAGTCTTCGTTCTTGATCTAGAACCAATAACCCAACCGAACCGAACCCGTCAGTTCTCAATTCAAATATCCGTTCGGGTATTTAACTTATAAACTGGTTGGTTCGGTTCGATTTTAAAGTTTTGTCCAGACCTAAGTTTGTCCCTCCAAATCACATAATATTGACTCTTATAGAGATTTTATAAAATTCTTATAAAACCTCAAATCAAATATTCGTTTGATATTCTCGAGAACTAACAAAATAATATTTTTCTTGAATATTTATATAGTTGGATTGTGTTTCTTCAAGAACATCAACACAATTTTCTTCATATTAAGTTGTGTTTCTTAAGAAACGATATGTAAATATTCTTCTAAAATATTGAAATTATAATATCATATTTTGAAAGAATAAAGAAAGTAATATTCTTTCAGAATAGCATAACATTTTGCTTTTTCAAGAGCAATAATAAATTAAACATATCAATTAACTATGTATAAATAATATATTTTATATTGTGATCAATTATAATAAGCAAATTAAATACAAATTTTGAGTATGCATAATATAATGATTATAATCTAAACATAACTGTCAAGTAAAGAAAAAGTGGTAAATTATCAATTGGAAATGATAGGTGGATGCGTGTACTAGAATAATTATCTAATGTAATCATGTAGTTGTGTAATTGAGACAATCTACAATTCTTATACTAAACAACCAATTTAAAAGAATTTGATTGTTGTTTACATAAATATTTCTCGCGAATGGAACATTGAATTTTAATCATAAATGTTGATTTTATGAACAATGAGTTTGAACATCGTATCCAAATTTCATGATGATCAGACCAACAAAATAATCCAAATAAAACATTCATTTTCAAACAAGACTACAATATTATTTTGAATTATTGATTTAGATTGTTTCTTCAAAAATAATAATACAATATTCTTTTGGACATCGTACTAGAATATTGAACAAAAAACATTACATTCAAGCACATATTCATCTATCAAAAATTGGTACAGTCAAAACGATATGATCAGACCGAATAATTATACCACTTTGTTATGCAATTCAAAATCAAGAGAATATTAACCTTTTCTTGGAGCTAGAAAAATAAGAGTTTCTTTATAAACTCAATTGGATAGAATTTCTTGATTTTCTTTAATTGAAGAAAATAATTTTTCCTATCTCAACTGACTAAAGACTTGTTAGTGGAAAAAGGAATGAATTTTACTAACTCAATTTGCTAGAATTTCATGCTAATAACGTATTATAAAATAAAGAGAAAAATAGAAGAATATAAAAAAGTCAATAGATATGCATGTATTTCATTGAGAATTAAAGTGATATGATCCATGAAACGAATGTAAAGAATGCAAGTCCAGGTAGGGATCCGTTGATCGTTGAAGGAGGGCCTACGACTAGGTTGCAAGCAAAGCAGGTAAAAAAAGCGATGAGATTACTCGTTTAAGCTACGTGGACAAAACATCGGTCATGGCGAGCAAAGGAAGAAGTTTTATGTTTGGTTTGGGAGCCGAAACAAGTTGGTTCAACATGATTCAAGCAACAGGTGAAGGACATGCCCATATGAAGTATGCGACTGCATAATTCAACAAGCTATGCAATCGCATAGCATCTTGTGGAGAAGTCAACTGGGGAATGGAGTCCTTCTATGCGACCGCATCCAAGTGTACTATGTGGTCGTATAGTCGAAAAGTGTGACGCGATTTTCCAAATTTCACAAGATCTTTTATTTTAGTTGAAACTCTAGTTCTTGGTAACTTTTGTAATCTTTTAGATTTTAATTCCATTTCAACTAGGGTTTTATTAGTTTCCTATAAATATGACTCATTATTTCATATTGTAAACAATTTTCACTCATATCAATAGATAGATTATTTGTGAGCATATTTTGTTTTCAATACCTTGTTCTTCATTGAACTAAATTTTAAACTTATCAAGATTTTTTTTTTATTTTTTGCATTCAAATAATTCGAATGACATTCTTGAATCTTGTGATCAATAGGTCAACATATTATCTACGATTGTGTTGGTTACTTGGTTCAATATTTTTGGAATGTTGATTTTTTACTTTCTTGGGTTTGATTCAATCTCGTGTGGATTTCGTAATTGCTATTGCTACTGGGTTCACGTCAAATTGTATAAGAACTTGAGCTCCTAAAATAAAGGTTATATCTTTTTCACTTTTGTTTGAGTCTTTGTATTCTTTCTTTTATCATTTTTCGTGTTCTTCGCATTTTTCATCTTTTGAGTCTTTAAATACAACAGGGTTTCAGACAATTTCAAAAGTTGTTTGGTCACTAATTAGTATCCAAATTAATTTCTTTTCGAATTTTTGGGTTTGTTGTTAAACTCTCTTGCATTTAGCCAAAAAAAATTAAAAAAAAATCCAAAAAAAAAATAGAATAGTAAGATTAACAAGAGGAGTGTAGGATTTCAATGGAACTTTGAACAAGATTATGCGTTTAACACTATTAAAGATAGGTTCTGTAAAGCGCTGATTTTAGCACTTCCTAACTTTGATAAAACTTCTAAAATTGAATATGATGCCTAAGGGATAAGTATTGGAGCAGTTTTAATTTAGGATAGAAGGTCGATAGCTTACTTCGATGAAAAGCTAAGTAGAGCAGCCCTCAATTATCCTACATACGACAAGGAGTGTATGCATTTGTTCGAGTTTTAGAGACATGACTGCATTACCTATGGCAAAAGAAGTTATTGATTCACACACTTTAAAACATCTGAGAGGTCAAGGTAGGCTAAACAAGAGACATGCTCGATGGACGAAGTTCATAAAGACATTTTCATACATAATTCGATACAGACAAGGTAAAGAAAATGTGGTAACAAATGCGTTATCGAGGAGATATGTTTTTTTAACTTCTTTAATTGCTAAATTATTGGGTTTTGAATATGTTGAGGACATGTATGCAAATGACTCGGATTATTCTAGTATATACGAATCATGTGATATAGGAGCTACAGATACATTCTTTAGGCATGATGGGTATTTATTTCGAAAAATAAGTAATGTATTCCTAAATGTTCAATGAGAGAATTTTTAGTAAAAAAAGCACATAATGGGAGTTTAATGGGACGTTTTAGGGTTAAGAAAACCTTAGAAATGCGAAGTGAAAATTTTTATTTACCTAAGATGAAAATTGATATTGATCGAGTTTGTAGTAGGTGCATTACTTGTAAAAAGTCTAAGTCTAAGATTTTACCTCAATGGTTGTATACATCATTACCTGTTACTAGTGAGCCTTAGGCTGATATTTTTATAGATTTTTTATTGGGTTTACTTAAGACTAAGAAGGGAAGAGATTTCATATTTGTGATGGTAGATATATTTAGTAAGATGGCACATTTCATTCCATGTCATAAAACTGATGGTGCTACGAATATTGCGGATTTATTCTTTAAAGAAGTTGTGCAATTACATGGGATTCTTAGGAGTATTGTATCGGATAGGGATATTAAATTCCTTAGTCATTTTGGAGGGTTTTGTGGAATAAGTTAGGCACAAAATTATTATTTTCTACAACTTGTCACATACAAACTGATGGGCAAACTGAGCTAGTAAATAGGATCATGATACAATTTTTACTCTCTAAGTTAATAAGAATTTGAAGAGTTGGGAAGAGTGTTTACTAGTTATTGAATTTGCATACAATAGGGTCATGCATTCTACTACTTCGTGTTCAACTTTTGAAATAGTATATGGTTTTAATCCATTAACACCTTTGAATTTAATTCATTTATTTGATCATGAACGAGGTAGTTTAGATGGAAAGAAAAATGTTGAATTGGTAAAATCACTCCATGAAAAGGTAAGAATGCAAATTGAAAAGAAAAACAAGCATTATGTGTCCCAAGCAAACAAAGGCTAGAAGAACATTACATTTGAACCCCTCGATTGGGTTTAGGTATACTTGAGAAAAGAACACTTTCCTGAACAAAGAAAATTGAAGTTACGGCTAGGGAGACGGTCCATTTCAAATCCTTGAAAGAATTAATGATAATGCCTAAAAATTAGATCTTCCTAGTGAGAATAATATTTCGGGTACTTTTAATGTGTTTGATCTTTCTCCCTTTGATGTAGGTACAGATTTGAGGTCGAATCTTTTCGAAAATGGAAAGAATGATGTGATCCATGGAACGAATGCAACGAAGGTAAGTCTGTGCAAGGATCTGTTGATCGTTGAAGAAGGGTCGATAACTAGAGCGCATGCAAAGCAGGTTAAAGAAGCGATGTGATTACTCATTCAATCTACGGTGAAAGAAACATTGGTCACAGCGAGCAAAGGAATAAGTTTCATGTTAGGCTCGAGAGCCGAAACAAGTTGGTTCAACATAATTCAAACAGTGGACGAAGGACATGCCCAGATGAACTTTGCGATTGCATGTTCAATAGGTTATGTGATCGAGTAGCACCTAGAAGAGAAGTCAACTAGGGAATGGAGTCCTTCTATGTGACCACCAATGCACTATGTGGTCGCATAGTTCAACAAGTTATGTGATCGACTAGCACCTTGAAGAGAAGTCAACTAGGGAATAGAGTCCTTCTATGCGACCGAATCCAAGTGCATTATGTGGTTGCATAGTACAAAAGTGTCATGCAATTTTTCAAATTTTGCGAGGTCTTTTATTTTAGCTAAAACTCTAGTTTTTGGTAACCTTTATAATCTTTTAGATTTTAATTCACTTGATTGTCTACGGTTTCATTGCATGTGCTCGGGGTAGAAGTTTTGTATAAATGTAATCGCCTCATCTATCCTCCTGATGAGAGGTTTGGTTTCAAACCCCGGTTCGACCAGGAGGAATACGCCATGCTAATGTGCCTTCAAACCTCCCTTACTTTTTTTCTATTGCAATTTCTGGATTATTATGTGATGATTCTTGAACTTTCCATATATAGTTTCAACTAGGATTTTATGGGTTGACTTACCTTTATACAATATTTTTTACTTTCAAAAAACTTTTTATGTAATCAATGGGTTAATTGAGTTGATAGATGACAATGACGATGAATTGAATTGAAGATGGTTGATGTTTTGATTGATATTTTGTTGGTGACCTGACTTAAAGGTACTTGACAGTGAACGAAGAAAGAGTAGGAAAGGTAGTTGCATCACTCTTTTTTTTTTTTTTTCAATTTATTGAACTAATTCCAATGCATTTTATTGGCGTTTTGTCACTATTTTTAGTGTTTGTCACTTTTTAAATTTATGTCACTATTTTGAATTTATGCCACTTTTTTATTTTTTTTTATTTTTTTATAGTGTTTGACACTTCTTTCACTTTCTTGAAATTTCTGTCACTTTTTTTATTGACAAATATTGCTTTCTAATAAAAAAGTGATACTTAATTTTACGCAAAATATTTTTAATTTTCAAAATACTTTTCATATGATTTTTCAAAACATCCTTAATTTAAGGGGTATTTATGTAAGTTGTCCAAGATTTATACCCATTTGGATTTACATTAAGGTGTGAGATTAATGATTTTTCCCTGTCTGGGCTAGTTTTAATCTAATTCAATTACCAATCTTAATTTGGGATATAATCTATAACTTTATTAATATTACTTTAATGTATTGCAATTGGAATAAAATAGATTTAAAAAAATCCAGCCGTATATATATATTTGTCTTAATCTAGAGTGCTTTCATACTTAATTCCTATTGTATACATCACAATTGCATACTTTCAAAGAAACTAGATGATGGACTTGGTTTGGTCGTTATTATATATAAGGAAAATGACATGAAATAACATTTACTTGGGAAGAAAATGGAGAAAGGCTATCTCAAGACCGAGTCATTTTGCATTAATCAATTAAAAATTAATATACTCTTACTCGTAGTACAATCATTTGAGTCTAGTCTAATATAAAATAAACATTAAAATAAGTCGAATCATTTTATTATTTCTACTAATGATTCTAAGCCACGATTTGATAGATATCTATCTAAATATGAAAAATAAATAAATAAATAAGGAGACTAGAAATAGGATTCTTACCAATTTTACATAAATTTCAAGATAACCTCTTTATTTTGCATTCGTTACTTCAAAATATTTCAGTCTACTTATTTTTATTTCTCTTTTTCCTTGTAATTTTGAAAATAAATATTCTTTCATTTTGTTTTACAACTTCTAATTGTATGATGAAAATTCTTTGAAGGACACAGTCAAGCTTGACATATACACACCATGTACGATGAAAGATATGTTACAAAATTCAATTAAATCCGTCTTTCAATGGATCCTCTATTTCTGTTATAGATCTTCTAGATTCAATGGAGATAAGTTATTTTCTGTTAAGACTTGGGGTTCCATATTAAAAGGTTAACCTTGTTAAGAGGAGTAGTCCAGAATCTTTTAAATTGGTCAATATTTCGATATTTAACCGATGTGAGATTTTTATCTCTTAACATGCCCCCGCAAGATAGTAGTTTGTTTGAGTAGACCAATCTTGCAATTCGTAGCTTATTAATTAAGACTTATAATCGGATCGGATCACTTGTTGGGGTTTAATGGACTCTGGTACCATGTTAAGACTTGGGGTTCCATCTTAAAATGTTAATCTTGTTAAAAGGAGTAGTCCAAAATCTTTTTAAATTGGTCAATATTTCGATATTTAATCGATGTGAGATTTTTATCCCTTAACAATTTCATATTAACAAGTTTAGCTTAGCTTTAAAAATTGTAAAATTAATTTTAATTAACCTTACGTTCTAAACGTGTTTGAATAACTTACTCATGATTTAAAAAGTTGCTGAATTTTTGAATAATACTTCTTAATTTACTTTTTTTATGGGCTACTTATAAGTAATTTAGTTGACAATAAGCTTAACCAAACATGCCAATGCCCCTCTGAAATGGTCAAAGTCTTCGGAGAGCAATTCGTTTTCTAGAAAGTAAAAAACCAAAGGTCTTAAATGCATATTGTCTATGCCCTTGACGCAATGCAATTTCTGATCGGAGTCCATGTACGAAATCGTTAGATCAGACTTCATAAACTGATAAACACTGCGAATATCACGAAATCAGATGTCATTTTTAGAAAATAAATTGCCCAATTTTATTTTTTTATTTTTATTTTTTACATCACACATTGTTGGTGAAGTTATGACATTCGGTGGACGGATGAATAGCATTAACAATACTATTGTCTGGTCCCAAGGCGGATCTAGGAAAAATTTTAGTATGTGTTAGTACGCAAATAATAATAGTAATAATAATAATAATAACAATAACGATCAAAATAATAATAATAATAATAATAATTCACATATGTCATTATGTATATGACGACAGATGTTTATAAATGTGTGGTTTAATGCTGTGCTACGTGCGTGCACACATTTATAAAACATGAATACATGGCTAGTCATTTTTGATATGGTGTTAGATGTTTGATATTGTGCTACGTAGTGGGCGAAGGAAGGGGCAAGAAGATTAAATTTTTATTATATAAAAAAAAAAAAATTATAGAATTTTATTTATTTATTATTATTTTTATTATTTTTTATTTTTTTTCCCCTCTCTATGTCAGCCCATTAGTAAAAGAAAATTGTCTGCCCTAGGCTCCCAGGGCACATCTCCAAGTGGTAAAAGAGGAGGGTAGAGAAATCCAGCTTTACTTGAGGCTGCTGCGTCAAGGGTTCGAATCCTGAAATATGAATTTGGCTCTTGGGTAAGTGCAAGTGTACAAGTAGCCTTCCACCGTATACCCTTGGAGGCATAACCTGCAATTTACTTCCCTCACGCTACTCCAGGACAAGGGCGGTGAGGGACCCTTAAGGTTGGGGTTCCACTTTTTTTAAAATTGTCTGCCCTAGCTAATGCATGCACGCGCTTACACAGATGCGTACTTTGACGATCATTATTGGTATGTGGTTAGATATTTGATACCGTGCTAACAGAATAATATATTCACGCATTTACACTTGGATAATAATTTTTCGTTATAGTAGTAAATGTCTAGTACGGTGTCATGTACTTGTCTGCGGCATGCACCGTGACAAATTTTAGAAAATAGCCTTCTTAAAAAAAAAAAAAAAAAATTATTCATGCTTTCTGATTAAAAAATAATAATAATAAATAAATAAAATAAAATCCTACCATGTCTTATTTGTATAATATCTTTTTCCTTTGTAAATTATCCATAAACCAACCCCAAATTATCATACAATGATAAATAGTAGTACCTAATAACAAAAAGAAATTAATATATTGTTGATCGTACTGTCTTCTCTAATTT